TTTCTGCTGAGACTCCTGGGTCTTTTCCAGGGGGGGAGGGGGACCCTTTGGAGCAAAGGGAAGGGCAAGAGCTACTGCCCATCTCCACTGAGGGAGCCACAAACGGCTCGTCCCAAGGTTCTGCAATTGCTTCGAAAAGAAAGTCATGGAGCTTACCCACACAACAGGCACTCACGCCTACTCCAGCCAGGGAGTCACCCCGGGGGCATACTCACTTTCCACACACATCACACAGCACTCCAGCAACGGAGGATACCAGGGGGCATCCCAACAAATCATTCCCCGCAAGAGAACTGGCACACAATTCCCAAGGTTGGCCTGACCTTACCCCAAATCCTACAGGGGGTCAAACATACACAGAGTTAGTCGAGGAACCAAGTCCCGACTACAACAACCCTAGCACAAATCCGGGAACACCTGAGTTTTGGGAAAGTACTGAAACCCACACGAGCCCGAACACAGAATGGGGTTCAGGGAATGGACAGCCTCCTGACAGGTCTTGGACTGACCTAGGAGGTTCTACAGAGACGCCCAGCAGCGGCTATCACTTCAGGGGGCCTGAGGGTCTACAGCTAGGTAGGTCAACCAGGTCACAAAGTAACAGAAGCCCTGGCCTGACGAGCCCGGTGGGCAAGCAAGCAGGCCAGGCATCGGGGCACAGTCCTTGGAAGACACCAGGACACAATAGAGAGAACAGGCTCACGCCTCCCTCCAGTCAGGGGACTTATGCCAGTAACCCAGAGCTAAGAAGGTCACAGAGAGCAAAGAAATCTCCTAAGTATCTAGAAGATTACATAACATTTCTGGCAAGGCAAAAGCCAGTAATCAGTGGGAGCACTGGGGAGCAAAATGTCATATAAAATAAATGTTGTATGTTGGTAGTAGTTTTAGCCCGGGGGAAAGGGGTGTTATGTCCCGAGCCTTTGCAAACGGCTCGGGCGTTTGCAGGCAGTCCCGGCAGGTGCAAAGCTGCCCGGGACCAGACAGGCTGTCGCCAGCGCCGTGCGCATGCGCGGGTGCTGGCGCGGGAAAAGTAACCCATTTACCCGGGAGTTGCCTATATAAGAGGCTGCGAGGCGTTTGGCTGAGGCTGAAGCCATCTTCCTGTAAGCTGAACGCTGAATAAATGAAACTGAGAACTCCAGCTGCTTCTCGTGTCTGTTTTCCCGCCACGGACTCAACAATTATTATTAGGGAGGCAGGAATCTTTTCTGATCCAAAATGCATAAAGAAAAGAGGTAAAATGAACCAAGAAGGAATAGTAGGTTTTACAGCCTGCCTCTGAAAGATGCACAGTGGACTGTCTCAAATTAAAAAAAAAAATCAAAATTTTGGACTGTCTCAAATTTTTAAAAAAGATCAAAATTGCATGGACAGGAATCCAGACACGACTCACCAGATTGTCAAATAAATCAGTGTTTATTTTGGCAAATTTAAGTGGAGGGGGAATTCTGGGAATTGTCCACCCATCTTAGAGCATTCTGGCTAGGGATTTTGGGGATTTGAAGTCCACCCATCCTAAAGTTACTAAGGCTGAGAAACACTGAAAAAAAAAAAAACCCTGCTCCCCAGAAAAACTACAATTCCCAGCCTGCATTTGGAGCTCCATCACCAGGAAAAGTTCAGATGGACAGGTTTTGCAAACTTTCGCCCACTGACAAAATATTGCTAGAAGCCCCATGCAGAATGTATGTAAGTGGGCAAAAAAGGACTAAGACAGTGGTTCTCAACCTTTTTAATGCCGCGACCCCCAACCGGTCGTAAGTTGAGGACTACTCAACTGGTCGTAAGTCGAGGACTACTCAACTGGTGCAGCACTGTTTGCAGAATGGGACTTTTGGCGGGCTCAGCAGAGCAGAGACAGCCTGGACAATTCCTATTGGCTTTGAAAGCCAATAGAATTAGACTCTATTCAAGAGAGTCTATTCTATTGGCTTTCAAAAGCCAATAGAATAAAAGGGAGTAGCACAGCTAAGGAAAAGGGGGAAAAAATGGCGGACTGCATTCTTTGGCGACCCCCGTGAAATGGTCGTTCGACCCCAAATGGGGTCCCGACCCACAGGTTGAGAACCACTGGACTAAGAGATTTGTTTCTTTTGTTTTTTAGCACTCCTAGAAAAAAAAAATTGCCTCTCGTTTTAAGAATACAGGTAGTCCTTGACTTACGACCACAACGGAGGCCCAAATTTCTGTCGCTAAGCAAGACATTTGTTAAGTGACTTTTGTCCCATGTTACAACCTTTCTTGCCTAAGTTGTTAAGTGAATCACTGCAGTTGTTGAGTTAGCAACATGGTTGTTAAGTGGATCTGGCTTCCCAATTGTCAGGAGGTCACAAAAGGGGATCATGTAACCCCCGGGACACAGCAACGGTCATAAGTATGAAAAACAGACCTGAGTCACTTTATTCAGTACTGTTGTGACTTTTAACAGTCACTAAACGAAAAGTTGTAAGTGGAGGAGTATTGGTGGTTTGTTTAACCTGGCCTGAACTATGCTGAGACCAAATGACATCGCCTGTGTTGTAACATTAATGGTCACATAATGTGAATGTTGAAAAAAGAGAAAAGTGAACATGAGCTGAATCCTGTTGTCGGCTATGACATCACCCATATGACATCATCACAGTTTATCACCCAGTCTGCCAAGCGTTAAGCCAGGATGTGCAAACCAGAATGCCTGGATTCAAACCCAAATAAGCATTCTTGTGGCACAGAGTTCCCTTCAATTGGTGTCCTGCTTAGTGTCCACATTGCTGGACAGTCCCCTCTGGAGTTCCTTTCGCCACCATCCTCCTTGGCGAATCCTCTCTGGGGGCCCAAAGCAAACAAGCTGAGATTACGGGGCCGCCTTTGGCCCACGTTAACACCATTGTTTTTCTTCCTTTGCAGATCTTTTATTTTCTTCTCTTCCTTCTTCATTCTTCTTTCCTTCCTTTTTCCTTTCCTTTTCCCTTCCTTCCTCTTTCTTTCTTCTATCTTCCTTCTTTCCTTTTCCTTCCTTCCTGTTTCCTTTCTTTCTTTTTCTTTCCTTCCTCCCTCCCTCCCTCTTCTTTCTTTCTTTCTTTCTTTCTTTCTTTCTTTCTTTCTTTCTTTCTTTCTTTCTTTCTTCTTCCTTCCTTGTTTCCTTCCTTCCTTTCCTTCTTTCCTCCTTCCTTCCTGTTTTCTCTTTCTTTCTTTCTTTCTTTCTTTCTTTTTCTTTCCTTCCTCCCTCTTCTCTTTCTTTCTTTCTTTTTCGCCTTTCTTCCTTGTTTCCTTCCTTTCCTTCTTTCCTCCTTTCCTTCTTTCTTTCTTTCTTTCTTTCTTTCTTTTTCTTTCCTTCCTCCCTCTTCTCTTTCTCTCTTTCTTTTTCGCCTTTCTTCCTTGTTTCCTTCCTTTCCTTGTTTCCTCCTTTCCTTCCTTCCTTCTTTCTTTCTTTCTTTCTTTCCTCCCTCTTCTTTCTTTCTTTCTCTCCTTCCTTCCTTTCTTTCTTTCCTCCCTTCCTTTTCTCTTTCTTTCTTTGTTTCTTTTCCTTTCCTCTCTCCCTCCCTCGTCTTTCTTTCTCTTTCTTTCTTTCTTTCTTTCTTTCTTTCTTTCTTTCTTTTTCTCCTTCCTTTCTTGTTTCCTTCCTTGTTTTCTTCCTTCCTTCCTGTTTTCTTTCTTCCTTTCTCCTTCCTTCTTTCCTTCCTGTTTTCTTTCTTTCTCTTTCTTTCTTTCTTTCTTTCTTTCTCTTTCTTTCTTTCTTTCTCTTTCTTTCTTTCTCCTTCCTTCCTTGTTTCCTTCCTTCTTTCATTCCTTCCTATTTTCTCTTCCTTCCTTCCTTCCTTCCTTCCTTGTTCTCTTTCTTTCTTTCTTTCTTTCTTTCTTCTTTCTTCTTTCTTTCTTTCTTTCTTTCTCTTTTTTTTTCTCTCTCTCTCTTTTTCTCTTCTTCCTCCTCCCCCTCTGCCATTTTACTCCTCAGTAGCTTCTTCCTCCCAGAGCCTGAGGAAGCAGGAGTCCTTCCTCATTTTTTCTTTCTTCTTCTTCCTCACCCCACCAATCCCGCCATTCCTGCCTTGAGGCCCCTCATGTCCCCGGGATGGTTTCATCAACATCACCATCACCACCACCATCAACAACATTTATTTATTTAAATTTATTGGCCGTCTGACTCCTGTGAACTCTGGGTGGTGCACCAAACTCGAAAGATTGAAAAAGAGTGAAAAATATTTGCGTATCTTCCCCCCCCCCTCAGTGGCACCATTTTCCCGCCATTTTTCCTCCTTCCCCACCATCCATCTTGGCTCCTTCCCCTCCTGGACCGCCCTTCGTCTTCTTCCTGATCAGTTCAGATTTAGACTTTCCTCTCAGAAAGGAAAGCAAAGCCTGTCACCTGCCCCAACCATTTTTATTTTCAGAAGCAAAACATTTACATTACTGGGATTATTTCAGATAAGCCCGTGTGAGGAGAGCTTGACAGGATCTGAAGCAAAGAGACAGACAGTCAAGAGAGCTAAAATTATCCTTAAATCGATAAAGGGTCAGATTTTTCTTGACATTTCTCCCTCCAAACTCTAAGCTGTGATAATTTGTAGCTCTTTCCACCATTTTTACATGTACCTGAACCAGAGGCTTCCATCTCTGGTGTTGATTAACCATGGTTGGACAAGGAAACCAGAACTGGGTTCAGGCTGCAAAGCCAACAATTGTGGCTTATAAATCATGGGGACTAGGTTTACAGCTTTTGTTAAAATACAATTCTGTCTGTGCTTCTCTCTATCCATAGTAACTACAGAGCCCTTTTGTGAGGGAGATTGGCAGTTTCAAAATTTGATAAATAAAATAAAAAGTATAACTCAATCTATCTTCTATCTATCTATCGATAAATCGATTATTTCTCATTTCTCAATCACTTAAAACTTGATAAATAATATAAACAAAAATCTATCATGACTAGCTATTATCTGTCTGTCTGTCTGTCTGTCATCTGTCATCCATCCATCCATCCATCCATCTTTATATCCATCTCTCATTATTTTTACCATTATCATTTGTTTATCATTATATATTTTATTTTTATTTACGGTATTTATTTGTCAAATTTAGTTATCGCCAATCTTCCTATTAGAGTGACTCTATCATTGATCATTAATAATGATCAATCATCTATCTTGATCTTTAATCTATATATCATCCATCGTTCATTGTCTTTTATTATCTACTAAATTACCTGTTCCTCATTACTATCATTATCTATTATCTATCATTATCGTTATGAGCGATCTAATATCTGTCTGTTATTTTAGTTTCTTCTGAGTAGCTTACCTCATAGTTATATAAAACTGCAATTATATATATTTTATATGCATATTATATATGTATGTATGTATGCATACGATGTATATTATTTAGCTAAGATATTGAAATTATATATATATATAATATATTTTATAGCAAAATAAATAAATAACTTCATTCTGTAATAACAGCTTTTTTTTAAAAAAAAAGTTTAATCACATGTACTTCAGCACTGTTCAAAGAGGTAATACCACCCATTTAAAAGGATGTTTTAAATTTTAAGTTCTCTAAATGGAAAATGTTTGGCTTTTTTTCCAGAAGAGTATCTAAAGTATTTTAGGCTCTAGAGACCAGCAGATTTCTTCTCCTCACCCATTTCTTTTAGGAGAAGAACACTTTAATATTGAAATTATTGATCCCATAAAAGCCCCACTCTTGCTATGAAAACAAATCATGTTGTTTTAAAAAAAGCCATTATGTTTATGTTGTGAACAGACAAAAATAGTTTTGTACAACTGTATTAGCAAAACAATATAATGTAGTCACTAAATTATTAATTAAACTAATAAAAAGGTTTTAAAAAGGGCTATGAACTTTTCCTACAGCATATTGCTGAATATTTTCATGTCTTTGGTGCTCCAAAAGTTGACAAGAGGGTGCAGATTGGAAGAAATCTAAAGAAAACAAATCAAAAAGTTTTAATTTGGTGGCAACTGCCATTAGTTTCCCCACTGAAATATCTAGAATCACTTTATTCCCACAATATTGTCGAGAGCAGAATAGGATTGCATGATTAAATAATCCTAGATTCAGTATTTTTAGATAATGGCAACTCAGTGTGTGCAGGAGAGGTCTATAGTAGGAACTTAAAATGCAATTGCGTTTTTTTTTTCAGGTGCTGTTATCTAGAAATAAAAACATGAAGAGGAATTTCACTGACAGTTCTTTGATGCGTAGTACAGCAGGTATCCATCTTTTATTGGGGTGGAATTCAGGATAATATAGTTGGAGGGACCTTTGAGGTCTTCTAGTCCAGGGGTTTTCAAACTTGGCCCTTTTATGACTTGTGGACTTCAACTCCCAGAATTCCTCAGCCAGGCATGCTAGCTGAGGGATTCTGGGAGTTGAAGTCCACAAGTCATAAAAGAGCCAAGTTTGAAGACCTCTGTTCTAGTCCAACCCCCTGCTCAGGCAGGAAACCCTATACTAGTGGTGGCGAAACTATGGCACGGGTGCCAAAGGTGGCACTCAGAGCCCTCTCTGTGGGCACATGCACCATGGCCCCAGTCCTAGGCCTTCAGTTGGGTTTTATAAAACCTTTTTGCTTTAGGTCTGCCGTGTGCAAAAAAAAAAAAGGTTCAATCAATCAGTTAATTTCAACTTCTCGCGGGGAAAAAAAAAGATCTTGCAAAGTTGGAACTGATTGATTGAACTTTTTAGTTCCACCCAGTCTGCCATTACCACTGCAGCCATGTCCACCCAATGGGCCACACTCAGCCAATGGGCCACACCCACCCGGCACCCGATGATGCATAAGTGGGTTTTGGGTTGCAATTTGGGCACTCGGTCTCTAAAAGGTTCACCATCACTGTCCTATACCATTTCAGACAAATGGTTGTCCAATCTCTTCTTAAGAACTTCCAGTGTTGGAGCATTCACAACTTCTGGAGGCAGTTTGTTCTACTGGTTAATTGTTCTCATTGTCTTGAAATTTCTCCTTAGTTCCAGGTTGCTTCTCTCTTTGAGAATAGAACAGAGTAGAGTAGAGTAGAGTAGAATAGAATAGAATAGAATAGAATAGAATAGAATAGAATAGAATAGAATAGAATAGAATAGAATAGAATAGAATAACAGAGCTGGAAGGGATCCTGTAGGTCATCTAGTCCAACCCCCTTTCCAAGCAGGAGTCCCTACACCATTTCTGACAGATGTCAGGCCAATCTCTTCTTGAAAGCCTCCAGTGATGAAGTACCAACAACATCTGAAGGCAGTCTGTTCCATTGGTTGATTGTTCTTACTGTCAGGAAATTTCTCATAATTTCCAGGTTGCTTCTCTCCTTGATCAGTTTCCATCCGTTGCTTCTTGTCCTGCCTTCAAGGGCTTTGGAGAATAGCTTGACCCCCCTCCCTTCTTTGTGGCAACCCCTGAGATATTGGAACACTGCTATCCTGTCACCCCAGTCCTTCTTTTTATTAATACCCAATTCCGACAACCGTTCTTTATAAGTGTTAGCCTTCAGTCCCCTAATTGTTTTTGTTCGAAAGAGTTATTATAATTTCCAACCAATGACCAGCAAAATGAGTGGAATGAGCAATGTTATTTAAGGCTTTAGGTTGCAGTGCATGCAAAAGGGGATCAAACACCTCCCCTGTTGCATCCTGTTCAGTCAGGGGACAGTTCTGTAATGCAAATAGTCCTGGATTTATGGCCACAACTGAGAACAGAATTTTCATTCATTTTCATCGCTTCTGTCTGATTTTACGATCTTTTTTTGCCATGGCTGTAATGGTTCACTGCAGTTGTTAAGCGAATCATTGCAGTTGTTAAGTGAATCACATGGTTCTTAAGTGAATTCAGCTTCCCCACTGACTTTGCTTGTTGGAAGCTAGCTGGGAAGGTCACAAATGGGATGCTGCCAATGCTATAAATACATGCCAGTTGCCAAGCACCCAAATTTTGATCATCTGACCCTGGGGATGTTGCAATAGTTGTAACAATGAGGATTGGTCATAAGTCATTTTTTTCCAGTGGCGTTGTAACTATGGTAGTCACTAAATGAATGGTTGTAAGTTGAGAATTACCTGTATTTCTCCCATTCTCCTCTTCCTATACTTAATTTTCCCTGGGAGAAGAAGTACAGATAAACACGCTGCACACGGTTTTTAAATTGTGTTAAATCTCTCCCCAGTTGCAGGGCATCCATGGGGAGCATCAAAAAGTCAAAATAGTGGCTGCGACTGTATCATTAAAAGCCAGACTCTTTTTTTTTTTTATCTTTGCAACACACATACAAAGGGGGCTGGGACTTCAATCACCATTTTACCTTTTTTAACACCTTCCCACATACATACACACCTTTTAGGGGATGCCCCATCAGAATTTACTCTCCTTACACGGGTGACTGTGTAATCCAGAAAAGCGATGTGCTCAATTCTTATTTTATCATATTTTTCATGGGTGGAATAACAAACGTTTTCTGAGTAGATTTCATGCATTGATCCATATTAATGACGAACTAACCGTAACTGTTTGGTTATTAGAATATGCCGGAAAGCAGAAGGGAAGATGTTAAAAAATGGAGAGCCTTAGCCATTATAACAAACCTTTATGAAAAATTCACAGAGGATTTTTTTCCCCCCCCATTTCTTCCACCCTACTATTATCTCTCCCCTCCTCTCATTTTTCCCTTGTGCAATGACTATCAGACACATTCGTAGACAAGGGATCACGGTCTTTGTGCCATCCCTAAAAACAACTTCACTTTGTGTGGGTTGATTGATGGGAGAAAGGGATTTTCAGCACAAATTCCCAGGATACCTTGAGGGGAATAACAACAATTACAGCTACAACAGTATCAGCAATAAAACAATGTAATAAACCCAAATGGACAACAACCCGCTAATAAAACGTGACCAAACTGTAAATCAGCAATGAGAATAATTATGGAGGGTGTTGAAAATGCCCCAGGCAGATAAGAAAGAGATTTTTGCCTGGTGGCAAAAATGACAACCAGAATGGACACCTTCTCAATAGACATTAATAATACTGATACTATTGAATTGGTAGCATGGGAAGTATAGAGTTCCACTGAGCGAGGAGGCTTTAGTCATCTTTAGTCAAGGTCAGACAGAAATGATAAATTAGGCAGATATATATATAAACAAACACTTGGAATACGGCATCCAGTTTTGATCACCACGATGTAAAAAAGATGTTGAGACTCTAGAAAAGAGTACAGAGAAGAGCAACAAAGATGATTAGGGGACTGGAGGCTAAAACATAGAAGAAACAGTTGCAGGAATTGGGAATGTCTAGTTTAATGACGAGAAGGACGAGGGGCGACACAATAGCAGTCTTCCAGTATCTCAGGGGTTGCCCCAAAGAAGAGGGAGTCAAGCTATTCTCCAAAGCGCCTGAAGGCAGGACAAGAAGCAACGGATGGAAACTGATCAAGGAGAGAAGCAACCTAGAACTAAGGAGAAACTTCCTGACAGTTAGAACAATGAACCAGTGGAACAACCTGCCTCCAGAAGCGGTGAATGCTCCAACACTGGAGGTTTTTAGGAAGAGACTGGACAGCCATTTGTCCAAAAGGGTATAGGGTTTCCTGCCTGAGCAGGGGGTTGGACTAGATGACCTCCAAGGTCCCTTCCAACTTTATTATTATTATTAAATCAATTTGTTCGGATTCCAAATGTTTTAATGAAATGCTACAAAGAGTTCCATTCAGATCCTTTTGTATCTCCTGAATGGACGAGATTCCAAATGCAGAGCAGTTCTCCAAACAGGGATCTACTCCTTTCCGATGAATGAGCTGCAGTGTGTCCCTGTCACACCACTGCCACATTCATGCAAATTGCACATTGGGATGCCAGGATGCGTGCTTCTGAATATACAGGTAGTCCTCAATTTACGACCACAGTCTTGTGGAAAACGAAAGGACTCTTACGAATTCCAGAGGGTTTTAGCAGAGAGATTTATTGTGCAGGTTCAGAAGCAATAGCAACAATTAATTCTCAATCCCAAGGGCGGGTTCAGACTTCAGTTTTATACCTTCCCTTTTTTTCCCCCTCAGGAACAAAGGAATACACATTGAAATACACATTGTAATACAATAGGTTCGTTTCTCACTGGTATACAATGGAGAGTTTGCTACATACATTGTATCCAAGTGCAATGCGCATTAGGTTAGTCACATACTACTAACACAGCACTATTCCAGTAATTATGCAGACACATCATTATTCTAGTGATTGTTCATTATTCCACATTAACAGCTGAGCCCAAAATTGCTGTTGCCAAGCAAGACAGCTGTTAAATGAGTTCTGTGTCCCGTTATACGACCTAGCTTGCCACCGTTCTTAAGGAAATCACTGCGGTTGTTCAGTTTGGTAACGCCGTTGTTAAGCGAATCTGCCTTCCCCGTGGACCTTGCTTGTCAGAAGGTTGCAAAATGGGATGACCTGACCCTGGGACAGTACAACCCGTCATAAATATGAGTCGGTTGCCAAGCATCTGGATTGTGATCACATGAGGATGTTGCAATGTTCATAAGTGTGAAAAACGGTCACTAAGTCACTTTTTTCAGAGCCATTATAACTTTGAACCAAAGGTGCTTTTCCAGGAGGCAACTGTTTTTCTTCGAAAATGTTTTGCTTCTCATCCCAGAAGCTTCTTCAGCTCTGACTGGCTGGTGGGGGAGGGAAGGATTTATACTCCTTGCAGACAGCTGGTCGTTTGCCTTCTTTTGGAGAGTCCTTGAGGCCACCTGTGTCCTCGGGGTCACCCGAGTGGTGCAAATGGGTGTGGAGCCTTCTTGGACCTGCTGCAAGGACTGCGTGTGTTGTGGAGCTGTGCTTTCTGCAGGACGTTTTCTGCCCTGTGTCCCTTCACTCTTGAACACCATTCCCTGCCCTCCAGTCAGAGCTGAAGAAGTTTCTGGGAGGAGAAGCGAAACGTCTTCAAAGAAAAACAAGAAATTTTAGTTGCCTCTTGAAAAAAGCACCTTTGGGATAACCATGGACCTGGACGACTGAGAATCTCCACAGACATTTAACTTTGAACACTAAACGAGCCGTTGTAAGTCAAGGGCTACCTGTATATATTATTGCACCAAAAGCATTAGCAATTTAATAATTGTGTTTTTTATGTTGCCACTTCAAATCGTAGGCTGCCTTCCGGTTCCTCTTTTCAATCAGAAGAAAAGGACCAAGCAACCTCTGACATCAAACCCGCTTAAAAATGACCTAAGCAGTAACAATTCAGCTGATCAATTCAATTTCTCGGCCATGCTCGCAGGTGAGTGAGGGGTGGACTGCACATTTTTTGGAAATACACTTTTATTGCAAAAAAAAATATTTTTCTAGCCTCGGGTTAAAATTTCGGGACCCAGCAAAATAAATCCCTAGCACAGTGATGGCAAACCTTTTAGAGACCGAGTGCCCAAACTGCAACCTAAAACCCACTTATGCATCATCGGGTGCCGGGTGGGTGTGGCCCATTAGGTGGGTGTGGCCCATTGGGTGGGTGTGGCCCCCTGGGTGGGCGTGGCTGCGGTGATAACAGCAGACTGGGTGGGACTAAAAAGTTCAATCAATCAATTCCAACTTTGCGAGATCTTTTTTTTCTCGCGAGAAGTTGAAATTGACTGATTGATTGAACCTTTTTTTTTTTTTTTGCACACGGCAGCAGAGGCCTAAAGCGAAAAGGTTTTATAAAACCCAGCTGAAGGCCTAGGACTGGGGCGACGGCACACGTGCCCACAGAGAGGGCTCTGAGTACCGCCTCTGGCACCCGTACCATAGGTTCACCACCACTGCCCTAGCATTTAAATTATAACTCTTGTAACTTCACACTTTTTTCTGCCTTTTGAACGGTTAAGATTACAGGAAGGAATGTTCTTTAATGTGCTTTCGTATTGATGTAAAAAAAGAGAGAAATTTATCATTTTCTTTATCCTTGAAAAGCCGTCTATGGATATTTCTGCCAGAATTAATTATTGGAATAATAATTAGTTCTATTCTTATTGAAAGAGAGGGAAAGGGAAAAGTGAAAAGTTTCTACCTGGCATTTGCCTCGTGTCTCTACCATTGCATATCTGAAAAATGTAAATGTATAATAGGATAACCATAAATATCACCGCTAACCCAGCTTTTTCCAAAAGGACATTTACTCACATCCCATCCATGCCTTGAATTAAAATTAGAACTGAAAGATTATACGAGTATCATCTTATAAAAGAGCTTTATTTAGATAGAGGGCTGAGTCTATCATGAGTTATTAGCCATGTTTACAGGCAGTTTTTTTTTTCCAATTTCCAGAAGCTGGGGGTAAACAATATGAAATACAGAATAAGGGGGACATAAGGGACATAATAAGGGACATAATTCAATCTCCTGCTTGAGCAGAAGACCCTATACTGGGGGTCCCCAACCCCAGGTCTGTGGACCGTCACCGGTCTGTAGCATGCCAGAAACCAGGCCACCCAAACAAGTGAAACCCCATCCAGGGATGCAAGCAGCACATGTAACCGCACCCCCTGCAGTCCGTGGAAAAAGTCTCTCCATGGAACTAGTCCCTGGTGGCCAAAAAGTTGGGGGTCACTGCCCTACACCATTCCAGACAAATAGTTGTCCAGTCTCTTCTTAAAAGCCACCAATGATGGAGCACCCACAACTTTTGGAGGCAAGCTGTTCCACTGGTTAATTGTCCTCTCTGTTAGGAAGTTTCTCCTTAATTCCAGGTTGCTTCTCTCCTTGATTAGTTTCCACCCGTTGCTTCTTGTCCTGCCTTCTGGTCCTTTAGAGAATAGTTTGACCCCCTTCTTCTTTATGGCAGCCCCTCAGATATTGGAAGCCGGCTTTCCTATCACCCCCTAGTCTTTCTTTTCACCAACTAGAGACATACCCTATTGCTGCTATGATCAGCATCATATTATTGTTGTAATGTAAAGTTTAATTGAGTGGCTAGCCGTGGAGAAGATGCAATTCGTATCTAGAATTTTAAATCTGATCCAGTAAAACAGGGGTCACCAACCCCTGGTCCGTGGACCAGTACCAGGCCACAGCATGCCCCATCCCCATCTACAGGATGCAGGCAGCGCACCAAACCACGTCCCCTCCGATCCACGGAAAAAACTCTCTTCATGTAAGCAGTCCCTGGTGCCCAAAAGGTTGGGGACCTCTGCAGTAAAACATTTCATCGTAAGAGGCCTTTAAAAGTTAGACCATCCTTTCCCATCCAACTACCCTCCAGATCAGCGTGCCTGGTGGAGGAATTCTGGGAGTTGAAGTCCACAAGTCATAAAAGGGCCAAGTTTGAAAACTCCTGCTCCATATGGTTTATCCCTTTGGATTGGGAATTCTCATCGTTACAGTCACATCTTCTCTGAAGCTCTTCAGATTGGAGACAGCTGCATTAAACTAATGGAAACTAATCAAGGAGAGAAGCAACCTAGAACTAAGGAGAAACTTCCTTACAGTGAGAACAATTAATCAGCGGAACAGCCTGCCTCCAGAAGCAGTAAATGCTCCAACACTGGAAGTTTTTAAGAAGAGACTGGACAGCCACTTGTCCGAAATGGTCTAGGGCAGTGGTTCTCAACCTTTCTAATGCCGTGACCCCATAATACAGTTCCCCATGTTGTGGTGACCCCCAAGTGGGTGTGGCCACCAATAAGAGGGAGTAGGACAGCTAGGGAAAAGGGAACAAAATGGTGGACAGCATGGTTTGGCGACCCCCATGAAATGGTCGTTCGACCCCAAATGGGGTCCCGACCCACAGGTTGAGAACCACTGGTCTAGGGTTTCCTGCCTGAGCAGGGGGTTGGACTAGATGACCTCCCAGGTCCCTTCCAACTTTACTACTATTACTATTACTAAAGGAATCACTTATGAATAAATCTGCCAAAACCTGGATGGCAGATAAGGCTGTCTGGAAATAGAATAAAGCATAAAGCAGAGACACCAGCAATGGATCTATTCCCTTAAAGCAATGTTTTGCAACATCAGCAGCTTTAAGATGTATGGACTTCAACTCCCAGAATTCCCTAGCCCTACTGACTGGGGAATCCCAGGAGTTGAAGCCCACATATCTTAAAAGTTAACGAAATGAAGAAATACCGCCTCAAAACTCAGGTACGGTAATCAAAAATTCAGAAGTGGAGCATTACGTCACAAGGAATGTTAACAATGCACATATAACACATTCCGCATTTTCTTTCTTAATATTGGATCAGGACCTGGATTCAAACTGATCATTCTGTGTCCTTTGACTTTTTTCAAGATTTCGGATGGGAAACTGAGAAGCCAGAACCGATCCAACTGCAGAAAACAGTAGGCACCGAGTAAGTAGGTCCCACCTCTTTATATCCCTGAAATCAAATGCATTTCCTGGTTATGGAAATCAATACTGTATGGCTACAGAGAGTCCTTGACTTACAACCGTTCATTTAGTGACCATTCAAAGTTACAACAGCACTGAAAAAAATCTATGACCATTTCTCATACTTATGACCTATGACATCTCTCATACTTACAACCGTCGCAGCATCATTGTGGTCATGTGATCAAAATTCAGACGCTTGGCAACTGACTCATATTTGTGACGGCTGCAGTGTCCCAGGATCACTTGATCGCCTTTTGCGACCCTTTGACAAGCAAAATCGATGGGGAAGCCAGGTTTATTTATGAGACTTATATACCGCTTTAAGTGCAAGCACTCTCTAAGCGGTGTACACCAGTAAGCAATGTATATATATATTTACATTGCCCCCAACAATCTGGGTCCTCATTTTACCTACCCCGGAAGGATGGAAGGCTGAGTCAACCTTGAGCCGGTGAGATTTGAACCGCTGACCTGCTGAACACAGTCAGCTAAAGTGGCCTGTAGTACTACACTCTAACTGCTGCGCCACCTCGGCTCATTTCAACTGTTTTACTCATTTTAAAAACTGCAGTGATTCACTTAGCAAGAAAGATTATAAAATGGGGGCAAAACCCACTTAATGACCGCCTTGCATAGCAACGGAAGCGATGGGCTCCGTGGTGGACGTAAGTCAAGGGCTGCTTGTATCCTGTATGTATGCTTTAATCTTCTTCATTTGTGGTAATGACCAAACCTTTTCTCCACAGCCCAACAGAGCTTGTTATGCCATCTTCTTTGTCGAGGCAACAACACACATCAAAGCCGACAATGCCTCATACAGGAAGCAACTGGAGGTGGGTGACAAGATATTCTCCAAAAGGAACGTCAATGCACAGTTGAGGTCATTGTTTGTGAGCTTCTGGAACCGCATCCTTTTATGTCCGATCTGCCTTTGTGCCTCTTCCGATTGCTTTTAATCCTCAGATCAGGCCTTTTGCCAGAAATGACAGGGAGGGGAAAAAAAAAAACCTTACAAACTGGGTAGGAGGGAGAGCTGTCGGTATAGACCAGTGCTTCTCAAATAGTGGGGCGCGCCCCCCAAGGGGGGCGCGAGGCTCCATAAAGGGGGGCTCGTTTGACCTCGGCAAATACTGTCATATTGGACGCACGTGACACACGCAAAAGACCCGATTGGATAGACAGTCGCGCGGGGGGGGGGCGCAAAATGTTTTCTTCTTCCTAGGGGGGCATGACAGAAAATAATTGAGAAGCACTGGTATAGACAGAGAGAGCATTTGAACCCCAATGCAGACCTCTTCACCCAGCCCATGGCAATTCTACCCTCCTGCCCCTTTGATTCTATTTTTATGGCAGCTTGTTCTATGTGCTACCACTAGCGCAAGGGTAGGCAACCTTGGCTCTTTTACGACTTGTAGACCTCAACTCCCAGACTTTCTGAGCCAGCATGGGGGAACTATGGTCCCTTCATGACTGGTGGACTTCAACTCCCAGAATTCCTGAGCCAGCATGGGGGAACTATGCGGAGCTGGCTAATTAATAGTTGATTCCTTGTCTCTTTGGTTCCTGTGATGTCTACTTTAAGACCATCTAGGATGGGTGGGGAACCATGGCTCTTTTATGACTTGTGGACTTCAACTCCCAGAATTCCTGAACCAGCATGGCTCAGCTTGGAAACTCTCCCTTTTCCCTCAGCATGACTGGCTCAGGAATTCTGGGAGTTGAAGTCCACGAGTCATAAAGGGGCCATAACTCCCATGCTGGCTCAGGAATTCTGGGAGCTGAAGTCCACGAGTCATAAAGGGGCCATAACTGCTGGCTCAGGAATTCTGGGAGTTGAAGTCCACAAGCTATAAAAGGGCCATAGTTCCCCATGCTGGCTCAGGAATTCTGGGAGTTGAAGTCCACCCCTCTTAAACTCGCCAAGGTTGAGAAACACTGATTTAGGGAAATAAAATCCCGGATGATTCTGATGGGTTAGATCAGGGGTAGGCAACCTTGGCTCTTTTATGACTCGTGGACTTCAACTCCCAGAATTCCTGAGCCAGCCTGGCTCAACTTGGAAACCTCTCCCTTTCCCCTCAGCGTGGCTGATTCAGGAATTCTGGGAGTTGAAGTCCACCAGTCATAAAGAGGCCATAGTTCCCCCATGCTGGTTCAGGAATTCTGGGAATTGAAGTCCACGAATCATAAAAGAGCCAAGGTTGCCTACCCCTGCCTAGCGCCACCCCACCCCTCCCAACCCTTACCTATCTTAATAAAGACAGGGAGGATTGTCATATATTTGGGGATTCAGCAAAGAGCATAAGGAGTATCCAAAGGATCCTGGGAGCCCTTTTACATAATACAGGTAGTCCTCAACTTACGGCCACAACTGAGCCCCAAATTTCCGTGAGAAATTTGTCAAGCGAGGTAAAAAGACAGAGAGATAACATTAGTCTTATTTCACTCCAGGCAGGAGGAAAGCACTAATGTTTGGAAAAGAAATGACTTCCCAGCTTTTGGCAACAGAACGGAGAACAAAAAGCTTTCACAGCTGGACGACCACCCCAGTTATTGGATGAAGCCTGGACACATGTACCAGAAGCCAGCAGCCCTGCCACAGGCATCGGAGAGAAGCAGGACAGATGCGGCAGAAGATTGGGATCCAGCTGTTTCCCAGTGGCCTGTGGTACCAACAGCCCGATTCAGAAACCTGCAGACCCAGGATCCCTCCTACACATTTAAGCCCAGCCCTTCCCAACAAAACGCCCTCAAGGAAAAAGCTGACAATTTGCAAAAGAGCCAAACGATTCAGGTAAAAAAAATTCATGCATGCATATATTTTTATAAAGGACGTTGGGGAAATCTCCTTCCGAACCTACTTATTTTCCAAACTGAAAAATAGTCGCTTGAAGCCTTTGGTGACTTATATAGATAGTTCTCGACTTACAACAGTTCATTCAGTGATCCTTAATAATAATAATAATAAAGTTGGAAGGGACCTTGGAGGTCATCTAGTCCAACCCCCTGCTCAGGCAGGAAACCCTATACCATTTTAGACAAATGGCTGTCCAGTCTCTTCTTAAAAACTTCCAGTGTTGGAGCATTCACAGCTTCTTGGAGGCAGGTTGTTCCACTGATTAATTGTTCTAACTGTCAAGAAGTTTCTCCTTAGTTCTAGGTTGCTTCTCTCCTTGGTTAGTTTCCACCCGTTGCTTCTTGTCCTGCTTTCAGGCGCTTTGGAGAATAGCTTGACTCCCTTTTCTTTGGGGCAGCCCCTGAGGTATTGGAATACTGCTATCATGTCCCCCCTTGTCCTTCTCTTCGTTAAATGATACAGACCCAATTCCAGCAACCGTTCCTTATATGTTTTAGCCTCCGGTCCCCTAATCATCATTGTTGCTCTTCTCTGTACTCTTTCTAGAGCAGTGGTTCTCAACCTTTTTAATGCCGTGACCCCCAACCGGTCGTAAGTCGAGGGCTACTCAACTGGTGCAGCACCGTTTGCAGAATGGGACTTTTGGCGGGCTCAGCAGGGCAGAGACAGCCTGGACAATTCCTATTGGCTTTTGAAAGCCAATAGAATTAGACTCTGTTCAAGAGAGTCTATTCTATTGGCTTTCAAAAGCCAATAGAATCAAAGGGAGTAGCACAGCTAAGGAAAAGGGGGAAAAAAATGGCGGACTGCGTTGTTTGGCGACCCCCGTGAAATGGTCGTTCGACCCCAAATGGGGTCCCGACTCACAGATTGAGAACTGCTGTTCTAGAGTCTCAACATCTTTTTTACATCGCGGTGACCAAAACTGGATGCTGTATTCCAAGTGTGGCCTTACCAAGGCATAGTAGAGTGGTATTAATACTTGAAAAAAAGTGACTTAGAACCATTTTTCACACTGATCACCGTTGCAGCATCCCCGTAATCACGTGATCAAAATCCAGACACTTGGCAACTGGCATGTACTTATGATGGTTGCAATGTCCCGGGGTCCTATAAATCAACTTTTGTAATCTTCTGACAAGCAAAGCCACTTAACAAAGCCACCGTGTTACTAACTTAACAACTGCAATCATTCGCTTAATAACCAGGGCAAGGAAAACCATAAAATGGGGCAAAACTCAATAAATACAGCAGTGGCCAAAATTGTGGAAACCTTTTAGGAAAAGTGTATTTTTGAGGTTTGATGGCTAATAACACCAATTTTGGGGGGGGAATACCATAAAATTACATATCAATGGAAAGATCATTTAATCAAGAATGTAATGCAACAAAGCTTTTTCAATTATCCGTACTGTATCGTATGAAAAGTTGTAGCCAAATAACCAGAAAAAGGAAGCACAACTTGCTCAGGTTGGTCTCAGGTAGCTTTCCTTCACCTGATGGTAGCCAATGAGTGTGAGTGTTTAGAGAGCCAATCGGGCGTCATCTTGTTTTGGCCATGAGCCAATCAGATCACAGTAGGATTCAGTCATTGCTGTCATGTATTGAAGCCGAGAGGAGGACATTTGTCAGTGTGTTATGTGATGGCTATCAAGTTGGTTGGGTTTTTTGTGTTCTTTCATTGTGCGAGCTTGTAAAACGTAATAAAATTAAAGTCATGGTGCAAAGAGTTGTCAAATAGCATTATCAAGTGAACAAGGCTACAGTTATAAAGAAATTAGGAAAAAAAAATGGGTGGAAACTTAACCAAAAGGTGTCATTTCTACTGTACACTTTTCCCAAAAGGTTTCCACAATTTTGGCTGCTACTGTAAACAGAAATTTGGGGCTGCATCGTGGTCGTTAAGTCGAGGACTCGCTGTAAACAGACACGTTCTCACTTAAACTCAGACATGATGAAATCATCTTCGGCTTATCTGTCTTCTTCTTCTTCTTTTTTTTTTTTTTTTTGTCCCTGTGTCAAAGAAAAAGCCGGTGGGCCAGTCTAAAAGGAAAGAAAAAGAGAATTCTCTCCGAATTTTATCTGCTGTCATTGAGAGCATGAAGCACTGGAGCCAGTATGCTGGTAAAACTCCACTGTTATTTGAAGTCCTGGGTGAGTATTCTCTGGTATTTATTTATTTATTTATTTATTTATTTATTTATTTATTTATGAGACTTATATACCGCCTTTAAGTGCAAGCACTCTCTAAGCGGTGTACACCAGTAAGCAATGTATATATATATTTACATTGCCCCCAACAATCTGGGTCCTCATTTTACCTACCCCGGAAGGATGGAAGGCTGAGTCAACCTTGAGCCGTGAGATTTGAACCGCTGACCTGCTGAACACAGTCAGCTAAAGTGGCCTGCAGTACTGCACCCTAACTGCTGCGCCACCTCGGCGCAGGATTGTGGGGGCACTTTTCCATACCAAAATATTGGTCTTACCATCCCAAAGAAGCCGATTACTTTTAAAATATTCCAGCCAACCTCTTCAGCATTTCACTTGGCAACTAGGATTTATTTATTTACCACGGTTACAGCATCCTGGAGTCACGCGATCGCCATATGCGGCCGTCCCACCCGGCTGGCTCCTGACCAGTGAAGTCAATGGGGGAAGCTGGACCTGCTTAACAATGGCAGGATTCACTTAACAACCGTGGCAAAAAAAGTCACAAAATCAGGTGCAACTTGCTTTGTTGTTGTTAGTTGCGAAGTTGTGTCTGACCCATCGCGACCCCATGGACAAGGTTCCTCCAGGCCTTCCTGTCCTCTACCATCTTCTGGAGTCCATTTAAGCTCACCCCTCCTGCTTCAGTGACTCCATCCAGCCATCTCATTCTCTGTCGTCCCCTTCTTCTCTTGCCCTCCATCTTTCCCAGCATCAGGCTCTTCTCCAGTGAGTCCTTCCTTCTCATTAGGTGGCCAAAGTATTTGAGTTTCCACTTCAGGATCTGGCCTTCTAAAGAGCAGTCAGGGTTGATCTCCTCCAGGACTGACCGGTTGGATTGCCTTGCAGTCCAGGGGACTCGCAGGAGTCTTCTCCAGCACCAGAGTTCAAAGGCCTCCATTCTTTGGCGCTCAGCCTTTCTTACGGTCCAACTTTCACAGCCATACATTGCAACTGGGAAAGCCATGGCCTTGACTATGTGCACTTTTCTTGGTAGGGTGACCTCTCTGCTTTTTAGTATGCTGTCTAGATTTGCAACTTGCTTAGCAATGGGGATTCTGCTCCCAATTGTGACCGTTAAGTCGAGGACCAGTGACACTCTCAACTGCTTGCTTACAAAAATAGCAGCACGTCTTACACATCCCCATTTCTGTCAATATATGTTTATCTCCACAAGCCAGGAGGCAGTCAGCTGTAGTAAAGCTGAGAGGCTCCTTATACAGCCTTCAGTCAGTGTGTTGCCCTGGGCAGGCCCTCACCTGTGCTAAATCTGGACCTCTATCATAATTATCATTTCTAAACCACCATGTCTCTTCTTACTGTTAGACACAAAAATACACAAATTGAAATCCACTCTGAGTTACAAATAGAAAGGAAGTTTATTAGACTTCACAACAAAGTCTAAAAAAATAACGGTTTGCAAAGTGTGGTGGATTCAGGAAGGCAATGCAATGTAGCCAAGCACTGAACCACACCCCAAATTCCAAAATCATATATTATTATACATCCTATCGCGACGCCCCATTCCCTCCCCCATGGCCCCATTGGCTTAGGCTTTGGAGGTTACAATCTATCAGAAGCGCCTAAACAGAATACATTATACTAATAAGATCCCTCCCCTACTATCCTATATCAATTCTAGAGAGAGATCTTCTACACCTGTTAGATCCAATAGGGTACCAGGTACCAAAAGGTACTTAAAAACAATTCCCAGATGGTGACTCACACTGGGCCCCATGGTAACTCCTGTTCTCCCCCCTTCCTCCACCTGAGGTTTCTATGTTCCCTATATACTCGAAGCATCTACTCAGGCAATTGATTATACAATAATTATAAAATATAAAATATGATTACATGATAATACTGAAAGCATATATTTTTTTATTTTTAAATTTCCCCCACATTACAAAAAGCCACCGAAGAGGGTTTGTCTTCACTCTGAAAAGCTTTCAGACTAATAATTACACTGCATTATTTAGGTGTTCTGGATTCCGCTGTTACCCCTGGACAATTTGGGTCAAAAACTTTCCTTTTGAGGGATGGAAAAGAAACCGTGTCGTGCGTATTTTATGAGATTGTAAGTGTGTATATATATATATATATATATATTTGTATAATCTTTAATCAAGGATGCATTAGGTATGCTGAATCTATGACAATCTACATCAGGGATCCTCAAACTTGGCCACTTTATGACTTGTGGACTTGGCTGGCTGGGGAATTCTGGGAGTTGAAGTCCACAAGTCTTAAAGTGGCCAGGTTTGAGGATCCCTGCTGTAATCTAATACATAACTACAGGTAGTCCTTAACTTACCACCTTAGTGACCATTTAAAGTTACGATGTCACTAAAACAAGTGACTTACGACCGTTTTTCACACTTACGGCCGTTGCAGCACCCCCGTGGCCATGTGATCAAAATTCACACGCATGGCCGACTCATATTTATGACAGTTTCAGTGTCCCGGGGTCACGCGACCCCCTTTTGCGACCTTCTGACCAACAAAGTCCATGGGGAAGCCAGATTCACTTCACAACCGTGTTACTAACTTAACAACCACAATAATTCACTTAACAATTGTGGCCAGAAAGGTCGTAAAACAGAGCAAAACTCACTGAACAACTGTCTCGCTTAGCAACAGAAATGTTGGACTCAATTGCAGTCATAAGTCGAGGACTACCTGTATAGGCAACGCATCCTGGTTTTAGCAGGTTCTTCTGCCCAAGTGATCCTTTGTAAAGATTAGATTATTTCTCTATAGATCAGTGGTTCTCAACCTTTTTAATGCCGCGACCCCCAACCGGTCGTAAGTTGAAGACTACTCAACTGGTGCAGCACCGTCTGCAGAATGGGGCTTTTGGCGGGCTCAGCAGGGCAGAGACAGCCTGGACAATCCCTATTGGCTTTTGAAAGGCAATAGAATTAGACTCTATTCAAGAGAGTCTATTCTATTGGCTTTCAAAAGCCAATAGAATAAAAGGGAGTAGCACAGCTAAGGAAAAGGGGGGAAAAAATGGCGGACTGCATTGTTTGGCGACCCCGTGAAATGGTTGTTCGACCCCAAATGGGGTCCCGACCCACAGGTTGAGAACCACTGCTATAGATCCTAATTTTCGACAGCTGTGAATAATACCTTTATTTTGCAACTGGTCGATTTTATCATTGCAATAAAATTTACCCATACATCTTTTAAAAGGTATATTAAAAGTGATCCAATATATTATACAGTAGTGGCCAAAATTGTGGAAACCTTTTGGAAAAAGTGTACAGTAGAAATGCCACCTTTGGTTAAGTTTCCACCCATTTTTCTTCTCATTTCTTTATAACTGTAGCCTTGTTCGCTTAATACTATTTTACATCGCTTTCTGGGCGACCCGTCAACTCTTTGCCCCATGACTTTAATTTTATTACGTTTTACAAGCTCACTCAATGAAAGAACACAAAAAAAACCCAACCAACTTGATAGCGATCACATAACACACTGACAAATGTCCTCCTCTCAGCTTCAATATAGGACATCAATAACCAGATCCTACTGTGATCTGATTGGCTCATGGCCAAAACAAGACGACACCTGATTGGCTCTCTAAACACTCATGCTCATTGGCTACCATCAGGTGAAGGAAAGCTACCTGAGATCAACCTGAGCAAGTTGTGCTTCCCTTTTCTGGTTATTTGGCTACAACTTTTCATAGGATACAGTATGAATAATTGAAAAAACTTTGTTGCATTACATTCTTGATTCAATGATCTTTCCATTGATATATACTTTTATGGTACTGCTCCAAAAAAAAGTGGTGTTATTAGCCATCAAACCTCAAAAATACACTTTTCCCAAAAGGTTTTCCACAATTTTGGCCACTACTGTAAATTGGAAAGAGATGTTTGGTGTTGCTATTTCTACATGAAAGGGATAAGGGGGGGGGGGAAACAGAAATGACTTTTTATTCTTCTCTGAACAAAAGGATCGCGAGTTACCAAGGTTAATCAGAGGCCGAGTTCACAGGTGCATGGGAAATTACGACGCAAAACACAAGGTGTTCAAATGTGTGTCTGTGAGGCCAGCAACAACTGCTGAACAGCAAACTTTCCAGGATTTCGTCAAGGCCGCGGATGGGGAGATGTGCCGGTTTGTGAAAACAAGCAACGAAGTTTAAATCTTTTTGATGCAGAATTTCAGAATCTTTGAAGAAACACGTCACTTATTTTTGTGCGTCTTCGCTGGAGGTTGTAACACAAAAGGGAAGTCATTCTAGAAGTTCTTTTTATTTGCCATTGCTTGGGTGAAAACATTGTCATAAAAAAATAAATAAACTAACTTCAGTTTGTTTCTAATATTTTAATACGGATGGGTTATTTTTTTTTTTCATACCAATTTAATCATTTAAATGACCATCCTCGGTAGAAATCTCCTTACAAGGGAAAAAATTTCTACAGAAATATGTTCAAAAATAGACAGAGACCAATTATTACTTCATGTCTCCAAACCAAGTAAACAAGGCAGAACAGAAAGCTTATATTCATACCTAGTTATTTTCCTTTTAATATTCCGTCCAGATTTTGCTTTCACCCAACGGAAAGACATCATTCAATGGGCCCTGTTCATACAGGTAGTCCTTGATTTAAGACCACAATTAAGCCCTACATTTATGTTGCTAAGTGAGGCATTTGTTAAGTGAGCTTTGCCCAATTTTACAACAGTTTCTTGCTACAGTTAAGAGAATCACTGCAGTTCTTAAGTTAGATCAGTGGTTCTCCACCTGTGGGTCGGGACCCCATTTGGGGTCGAACGACCATTTCAGAGAGGTCACCCAACAACGCAGTCCGCCATTTTTTCCCCCCTTTTCCTTAGCTGTGCTACTCCCTTTTGTTCTATTGGCTTTTGAAAGCCAATAGAAGAGATTCTCTTGAATAGAGTCTAATTCTATTGGCTTTCAAAAGCCAATAGGAATTGTCCAGGCTGTCTCTGCCCTGCTGAGCCCGCCAAAAGTCCCAGTCTGCAAACGGTGCTGCCCCAGTTGAGTAGTCCTCGACTTACGACCGGTTGGGGGTCGTGGCATTAAAAAGGTTGAGAACCACTGAGTTAGTGACACAGCTGTTAAATGAGTCTGGATTCCACATTGACTTTGGAATAGAATAGAGCTGGAAGGGACCTTGGAGGTCTTCTAGTCCAGCCCCCTGCTTAAGCAGGAAAACCTGTACCATCTCAGACAAGTAACTATCTAGCCTCTTCTTAAAAACATCCCGTGATGGAGCGCCCACGATTTCTGGAGGCAAGCAGTTCCACTGGTTAATTGTCCTGTCAGGAAGTTTTGTCCTTAATTCCAGGTTGCTTCTCTCTTTGATCAGTTTCCATCCATTGTTTCTTGTCCTGCCCACTGATGCTTTGGAGAATAATTTGACCCCCTCTTCTTTGGGGGAAGCCCCCCAGATACTGGAATTCTGCTATCATGTCTCCCCTATTTTTTCTTTTCTTTAGACTAGCCAGACCCAAGTCCCGCAGCCGTTCTTCATGTTTTAGTCTCTAGGCCTTGGATCATCTTAGTTGCTCTTCTCTGAACTTTTTCCAAACTCTCAACATCTTTTTTTGCGATATGGTGACCAAAATTGGCTGCAGTATCCCAGGTCTGGCCTCACTAGGGTTTTCTAAAGGGGTATTAGTATTTTGTGTGATCTTGATTCTACGCCTCTGTTTATACAACCCAGGATTGTGTTAGCTTTTTTGGCTGCTGCTGCACACAGCTGGCTCATAGTCAAGTGATCGTCCACTAGGACTCTGAGGTCCCTCTCACAGTGGCTGTTTTCAAGCCAGGTTTCATCTAATCTGTACTTAAAATAAATGGTCACTGTAATAAACAGTCAAAATGAAGTTTTAAAATCACGTACCACACATATTGCAACTTTACTACTGGAAAGAACTGGCAATTATCAAGAAAACCACATTTTTTTTCCCAGTGCAAAAGTGATATTCCCCAAACAGAGCACCAAGGATTGTTAAGAGAATTACAGCATCCACTGGAATAATACGTAGGTTATCACCGAACCATTTCATAAATTCCTTTTTTTTTTGGTAGCGTTTTGTAAAATAAAATTGCTAGGTTGCTCCTTCCTATCACTTCTACCAAGAATTCAATTTAATATAAATGTGCTGCCTTTAGAATCCACGTGGCTGCTTATTTCAAAGCAATCGTAATAAAAAGAACCCCGCTGTTCTCTTGAATGAATTAAGTACTGCTCAGATCAATAATAATTCAATATTATTAACCATTCTTTTTCATCTGGAAATTGAAAATGAGATTTTGCTCAAGGAACAGGAAAACGACGGCACATTTTGCTGACAATGACTTGCTTTATTACAATACAATCTTGGCAAATTAGGAAATTCAGATTTTAAGCCACTGGAAATAGTTGTTCAACAAACACAGGGGTGGTGGTTAATATTTTAAAAAAAAGGAGGCACTGTGACAAAAATACAGAAACCACAGTAATGGAAAATACAGCTTTTTGTTACACGTAAAACTATTTACATCTATTTATATTTATATATATTTATATAGTTAGACTACTTGAACCTGAACTGGTAATTTTTGCTTTTTTTTAAAAAAAAAGGAAGAAACGATATTATGCACATTTGAAATAGCAGATTTCTTAAAATTCCTCAGTATGAGCAATTTATACGATCCAGTTGATATGCAACTTTCACCAGAAACTTGATCTCTAAGGATGACTTACATTTTCCTTCAACCGAAGATCCCAAGTTTCATTGGGATCTTACAGGGAAGCGTTTGTGTTTGGTCACAACCCCAATACAGGTAGTCCTCGACTTAACAGCAGTTCATTTAGCGACCGAAGTTACAACAGCACTGAAAAAAATTGACTTATGACTGTTTTTCACACTTAACAACCACTGTATCATCCTCAGGGTCACACAATCAAAATTGGCAACTGATTTATATTTTACGACAGTTGTGTGATCCCCTTTTGCGACCTTCCGACAAGCAGAGTCAATGGGGAAACCAGATTCGCTTAACAGACACGTTACTAACAGAACAACAGAGTTGGACGGGACCTCAGAGGTCATCTAGCCCAACCCCCCCCCCCCGCTCAAGCAGGAGACCCTAAACCATTTCAGACAAATGGTTGCCCAATCTCTAACTTAACAACTGCAATGATTCACATTAACCACTGGATCAAGAAAGGTCATAAATTGGGGCGACCACTTGCTTAATGAATGTCTCGCTTAGCAACCTAAATTTTGGGGCTCAATCGTGGTCGTAAGTCAAGGACTAACTGTTGTTGCATTCACACCACTTGGGAATTACAAAAGGGGATCCGTTGAGGTATGTGCAGGCGCAATTCTGCGCATGGCTTTGAACATCTGGAGGCAGGAAGCACGAAACAGCTGGACTTCCTGACTCTACCTTATTTTTTTTCTCTCTAAACATCGAGGCTGTTTTGGTGACTTATCACAAGAAAAAAAGGGCTGGATGCAAAGTTTTATCTTTCTCCATTCTTTTAGAATAGAGGATTTTTTACACCCGAAATACACTTTCTTGAAAACACACCCACAAGTAGACAACTGATTTCATGCATCTTTTTACAGGGGAAGAACATGTTTGCCCAGTTTTTATTCTATCCACGCGGCAAAGACCTGCAGAGTCAATTTTTGAAATGTCCGTTCCTGATGTTTCCACTGTTTTTTATCAAACCGTACTGGCTTATTTTGTGTTGCTTTAAAAAAAGGAGTTTAAAATAACGTTTAAAAAATACAAAATGGAAGCATCGATCTACATTTTCCGATATAAATTTCCAGAGGTGCGAGAGGGAAGCACTTTTGACATCAGGGTGACATCCGAGTTCTAGAAACAGTTATAAATACTAAAAGGTGGTCGTTGCCACAGAATCTTACGGGAATTCTTAAAAATTTCGGAGCGTTCCGAAGAAACTTCACATATGGCACCAAAATCCACTCACCAAAGTTGGTTTTCCGATTTCCGGGGGGGGGGGGGAGAGAGAGAAAAGAAAAGAAAAAAAAGGACTTATGCATACCGACAAATCACTTTTCTAATGAAACACTAAAGCGAATTGTAAACATTACAGAAACTGTTTTTTTTTTTTAGAACCATAGACGTGTAGAGAAATGCAAATACATTTTTACAACACTGCACGTTTTCACTGGCTGATGAAGCGTTTGACTAAAATGTTCACTACTGATCCCACGGTGTAACACGTGTTTATCGTTTAAAAAAAAAAAGGCACAGTTTGGTTAAGAAAGAAAGCATTCTGCAATTATTCGTTTTATTTCAGGCTCTTTCTCAGTCCCTCCTCCTCGTCATTCACACGCTGCTTTTCCAATGTTCCTCGCCTTCTGAAAGAGCACTTTCCAAAACGCTCCAGTCATTTGTAGTTGTCGTCGACGTTGGTCATTGATATCCAATTTAGAGATTAAGCTGCGGGCACTGAGTTCAAGAAGCAAAAAGAGCACAGATAACCCTCAACTTACGACTGTTTTGTTTAGTGACCCTTCCAAGTTAAAACGGCATTGGAAAAAAAAGTGACTTATAATAACAAAGTTGAAGGGACCTTGGAGGTCATCTAGTCCAACCCCCTGCTCAGGCAGGAAACCCTATACCATTTCGGACAAATGGCTGTCCAGTCTCTTCTTTAAAACTTCCAGTGTTGGAGCATTCACAGCTTTTGGAGGCAGGTTGTTCCACTGGTTAATTGTTCTCACTTTCAGGAAATTTCTCCTTAATTCCGAATTGCTTCTCTCCTTGATCAGTTTCCATCCGTTGCTTCTCGTCCTGCCTTCAGGCGCCTTGGAGAATAGCTTGACTCCCTCTTCTTTGGGGCAGCCCCTGAGATACTGGAAGGCTGCTATCATGTCACCCCTCATCCTTCTCTTCATTAGACTAGACATACCCAATTCCAGCAACCGTTCTTTATATGCTTTAGCCTCCAGTCCCCTAATCATCTTTGTTGCTCTTCTCTGCACTCTTTCTAGAGTCTCAACATCTTTTTTACATCATGGTGATCAAAATGGGTGGACTTCAATTCCCAGAATACCCAAAATAGCCTGCTTTAAGATGAGTGGAATTCTGGGATTAGTCCAGCCATCTGTTAAAGTTTCCAAGTTTGAAAAACACTAAATTAAACCCTACTGCCAATCTTGCTCACATCTCTTAAAACCCCTGAACAATAGCCACAATAGAACAATTAACCAGTGGAACTCCTTGCCTCCAGAAGTTGTGAATCCTCCAACACTGGAACTTTTTAAGAAGAGACTGGACAGCCATTTGATCTGAAATGGTATAGGGTTTCCTGCCTGAGCAGGGGGTCGGACTAGATGACCTCCAAGGTCCCTTCCAACTCTATTATTATTATTATTATTATTATTATTATTATTATTATTATTATTATTAAGCTATTCTCCAAAGCACCTGAAGGCAGAACAAGAAGCAACGGATGGAAACTAGTCAAGGAGAGAAGCAACCTAAGGAGAAATTTCAAGACGATGAGAACAATTAACCAGTGGAACAACCTGCGTCCAGAAGCTGTGAATGCTCCAACACTGGAGGTTTTTAAAGAAGAGACTGGACAGCCATTTGTCTGAAATGGTATAGAGTTTCCTGCCTGAGCAGGAGGTTGGACTAGATGACCTCCAAGGTCCCTTCCAACTCTGTTTTTCTGTGATATATGAAGCTAACCAGCTCAAGCAAGGTAGCACAGATAGGCTGCTACATGGATGTTACTCAAAGCCCCTATTATTTGCGGGCTAAAAGATCTGCGCTGCTTGTCCTTCTGACTTTTTAAGTCCAATTCAAAATCTTGCCTTTTGTGTTTAAAACTTGTAACAATGCCAGTCCAGAGTTCTCGAAAAGTCCATCTTCAGCTGGGGGGTTACCTGGACTAGTCCCGATTTATGAAACGACCTCTCTTTTTGTGTCCAGCTCGCGACACAACTGCATTTAAAAATCGCTTTAAAAAAAAAACACTTTTCATTTTCTAGTCTTTAACTGTGCATCATGTCTGTCTTGGGGATTGTTTTTATTCTGTTTTTGCAACTGCTCCGAATTCCTTTGAGATTCTTAAAAGAAGAGGCGTATAAACACTATATAAACTGAGCAAAATCCAGACCCATATTCAGTATCCCACACTCAGGAAGGATATTTTAAACTAGTGGGGTTTTTTTTCTCCAATCTTGGACACTTGACAACGGGTGGACTTCAACCCCCAGAATTCCCCAAATAGCCTGGGATTAGTCCACTCATCTTAAAGTTTCCACAGTTTGAAAAACACTAAATTAAACCCTACTGCAAATCTTGCTCACATCTCTGAAAACCCCTAAACTATAGCCACAGATTTCTCAATAGACATTATCTGCAAAAACGTTAACATTAAATTTTAACGAATGACTTTGGACTATTGGAAAAGAATGCCCCTTTTAGTACTGGCACACGCTGATTTAAGAAAGAATAAAAGAGAGGTGTGTATGTGTGTGTGTGTGAGAGACAGAGGGACAAAAAGAGAAAAAGAGAGAAAGAGAAAAAGAGAGAGAAAAGGGGAAAGAAAAAGAGAGGGAGAAAGAGAGAGACAGCGAAAAAGAGAAAGAGACAGAGAAAAAGAAAGTAAGAGAGACAGAGAGGAAGAGAGGAAGGAAAGAGAAAAAGAGAGACAAGAGAAAGAAAAAGAGGGAGAAACAGAGAGAGAGAAAGAAAGAGAGAGGGGAGAGAGAGAGAGAGAGAGAAGAGAGAGAGAATGAGCAGGGGGTTGGACTAGATGTCCTCCAAGGTCCATTCCAACTTTATTATTATTATTATCATCCTTGATTTGCCTCTGAGTAGGACCTTAAATCCACATGTATCCCATGTTGGATATTGGATTCACACACTCGACAAGGTAAAACTGTGCGGGATCATGTGTAGTTTTTACAGTCCATCCCATTGTCTGTCACATCAGTTCCTCAAAATAGTTCCTTGTGACTTCAGCCCTGCAAATAAGCTGAGCCACTAAGGATGCTGTATTTATTTGGGCAATGTAATTTGCGAAATAAAATAAAATAAAATAAAATAATAAAATAAAATAATAAAATAAAATAATAAAACAAAATAAAATAATAAAACAAAATAATAAAATAAAATAAAATAAAATAAAATAAAACGAGGCTCTCGAGTTTAAAAACAAGCTGGTTCAAAAAACACCCCCAAAACGTTCAAATATTCAACAGTAAGCTATAAAAACCAGAGCTGAAGCCTTTTAAAAAAAAACAAAAAACAAAAAAAAATGATTTGAGTTGCCAAAGAAACAGGGAGGTAGATATTGAGGATAAAAACCGGATTTCGTTCTTTCGGAAGCATTTGGCATTCAGGCTTGAAAAGGTTTGAGGTGACCCGAACCCAGAACTTGGCAAGTCTTATTGCAGAACCAGGGAGCTGATCACCAACATATTTGGAGTTGATTTGAAGTGACTTCAACACACTTTCATTCTTCTTCTCTTTTTTTGCCTCAATGCTCCAAGGAAGCACCTGCAAATTTCCAACCGGAACATCTTGATTGTGAAATATTACAAAATGGTAGGAATCGGAGTGGGGTAAGGGTGATCTTTCGGTGCATATTTTGCGAAAAAGGGCAAAAAGACAGACAGCATCACCCCAACTATTGCCAACATGTAACCCCAGCCCAGCTGGCAACTCCCTGCATAGTAAATGCTCGAATCCTCGCAATGCGTCCTGACGGCCGAAGAGCCGAGTCCAAACGGATACACCAGCAGGCCGAATCCCATGATGAACA